ATCTATTCATTGAATAAGTGATGATCCAGCAGTTCTTACTCAGGGAATTTTTGGACTTCGATTAAAGGTTTTTTTTGAATCATCGTGGTCATGATACGAATCTGATGTTTTTTTTAATTGATTCATATGGTCCTAACAAGAGAATTCCTATCAATAATAATAATTAAGAAAACAGCAGTAAAAAAAAGAACATTACACACAAATAAAAAATGGAAGTAAATAATAGAATATTCAAGAGGCCTACTGTAAATAAAGACGAGTGAGCCGACTTGATATTTTGGCATTATAACCACAAAGAATAGTTTTCGGATTTCTATTTTTTCTTATCTTCCGAAAAGATTGGAATCATAGGATTCCGTTAAGAAGTTTCAAGCTTTCTATTACACATATCTGTTTTCATTACAACCAGTATTTGGGTATTTTTGTTTGAGCCGTACGAGATGAAATTCTCATATACGGTTCTCGGGGGGGGTACCTTAGTTTACCTATCTCAATAAAGTCTATGATTGGTTCGAAGAACGTCTTGAGATTCAGGCGATTGTCGATGATATAACCAGTAAATACGTTCCTCCCCATGTAAACATATTTTATTGTTTAGGAGGAATTACACTTACTTGTTTTTTAGTCCAAGTAGCGACGGGATTTGCTATGACTTTTTATTATCGTCCGACTGTTACTGAAGCTTTTGCTTCTGTTCAATATATAATGACGGAGGCTAACTTTGGTTGGTTAATCCGATCAGTTCATCGATGGTCGGCAAGTATGATGGTCTTAATGATGATTCTGCACGTATTTCGCGTGTATCTCACAGGTGGCTTTAAAAAACCTCGCGAATTAACTTGGGTTACCGGTGTAGTTTTGGCTGTATTGACCGCATCTTTTGGTGTAACTGGTTATTCCTTACCTTGGGATCAAATTGGTTATTGGGCAGTCAAAATTGTAACAGGCGTGCCCGAAGCTATTCCTGTAATAGGATCCTCTTTGGTAGAGTTATTACGCGGAAGTTCTAGTGTGGGACAATCCACCTTGACTCGTTTTTATAGTTTGCATACTTTTGTATTACCTCTTCTTACTGCCGTATTTATGTTAATGCACTTTCCAATGATACGTAAGCAAGGCATTTCTGGTCCTTTATAGTAAATATGAATCATAGATATTTGTAATTAATCATTTCTTATTTGGGGAGGAATATATTTCATTGCTACAAATATGGATTATTTAAAAGAATAAGACATGTATTTGGATATTTTCCTTCAATTTAACAAAATTGGATTATTATTATTTTTTACATACACGAATAGTTGAAGGGAATTCTACGAAGAAGAAATGGATTATGGGAGTGTGTGACTTGAACTATTGATTGGGCCACGCAGATATATGATTTTCTCTTATCTGCCACATTTGAATTTACAATTCAATGTGTCTTTATTCCAACTACCACGCAAGGTCCGTCCCTACAGAGGATAGGCTGGTTTCACTTGTAAAGAATCTTTTCTATGATCAGACTCGATCATATCCTGCATGAACAGGCTCCGTAACATCCAGTAAAAAAAGTGATGTGGGATAATCTGAATTATATTTTCTCTATTTCACTGAACTTAATAGTATGGAAATGCATTCATTTCCTATGCATTGACTCGATTTATGATACTATCGGAGTAAACCAAGTGGATCTAAAGAAGAACAGGGGTTAGATTATATTAGTAACAAGTAAATCCTTTGTACGTAAAAAGTTCCAAGATTTTTTTTTTGGGGGGGGGGTAAGAATTGCAAGGTTTGAGATCACCCAAAAAGCACTATTCACTTTGAAAGCCTACTTGGGTATTGAGCGTTTACTTAAGTTTACTTAATAATAAAAGAACTTAATTTTTTTTTTTTGCAGATAAGATAATTGTAACTTCGGAGAAGAAAATAAGGTTTATTTTCTTACATGGAATCTTTCTATATGTGTGGATAACATATGCATTTTTTCTATGGATACATTCGAAATGTTTGATTCGTGCTCGAGCCGGATGATGAAAAATTATCATGTCCGGTTCTTTCGGAGGATGGATCTATAAGAATTCACCTATCCTAATAACAAAAAAACCTGACTTGAATGATCCTGTATTAAGAGCTAAATTGGCTAAAGGAATGGGTCATAATTATTATGGAGAACCTGCATGGCCCAATGATCTTTTATATATTTTTCCAGTAGTAATTCTGGGTACTATTGCCTGTAACGTAGGATTAGCGGTTCTAGAACCATCAATGATTGGAGAACCCGCGGATCCATTTGCAACTCCTTTGGAAATACTACCCGAATGGTATTTCTTTCCCGTATTTCAAATACTTCGTACAGTGCCCAATAAGTTATTAGGCGTTCTTTTAATGGTTTCGGTACCTATGGGATTATTAACAGTACCCTTTTTGGAAAATGTTAATAAATTCCAAAACCCATTTCGCCGTCCAGTAGCAACAACCATCTTTTTAATTGGTACCATAGTAGCCCTTTGGTTGGGTATTGGAGCAACATTACCTATTGAGAAATCTCTAATTTTAGGTCTTTTTTAAACTTTTTAATTAAATGGATTCAATTGTGAAATAAAATATCATGCCATGTATATTGTGTATCTAGGGAGAATTCATTTTGAAACGACTAATCCCTAGATACATCTTTTGGCCTATTCCGAGTATATGGATTTATTCTAAGGATTCAAATTACACATTTTCACCTTTATTTTTATAAATAATAAAATATGAAAAAAAAAAACCAATGCCAATGGATTTCAAATTTATGCGAAATGCTTTTCTATTTCTAAAATGTCTAATATATGTTTTACATCTTCTACACGAAAATGTTCCATTTCCATAAGGTCTTCTTGACTATTATTCAAAAGTTCTAATAATGTATGAATATTGGATCTTTTGAGACAATTATAGATCTTGGGAGGCAATTCTAATTGGTCAATAAAAATGGATTTCAATGCTATTCCTTTTTTATTTTTCCTCAGTTTATCCTTAGCCAATATATCATGAAAAGTAAAAAGGGGTAAAGTAACCTTGTGTTGATTTTTTTCTAAATGAAAGGGATCTTCTTCTGCATGTAAAAAGGGAATAAATAAATCAATCAAATTCCGAGAGGCTTCATAAAGCGCCTCTTTAGGAGTTAAACTCCCATTTGTCCATATTTCGAGAAAGAGTATCTCTTGTTTTTTTTTCCCATTCCCATAGGAATGAATACTATGATTTACATTTCGAACAGGCATGAATACAGCATCTATGGGAAAACTTCCGTCTTGAAAGTTTTTTAGTGTTTTTATACGATATCCGCGATTCCTCTCAATTTTTAATCCAATACACAAATTAATAGGTTCTGTTAGGTTGGCTATATGTTGTGTATTATCAATGATTTCCACAGAAGGTGGTAAAATGATGTCTTGAGCAGTTATATATCCAGGACCTTTGAAACAAATAGATGCGTCTTGAGTTCCATACAGATTACTTCTCAATACAATTTCTTTCAAATTCATTAAAATTTCATGTACTGATTCTTGAATACCTACTATGGTAGAATATTCATGTGGTATTTTCTCCGATTTTGCACGTGTAATACATGTTCCCTCTATTTCTCCTAGCAAAACTCTTCGCACTGCAATGCCTATTGTATCGGCTTGGCCTTTCATAAGTGGAGACAGAATAAAGCGTCCATAATAAAGACGTTTACTGTCTACTCTTGATTCAACACACTTCCACTGTAGTGTCCGAGTTGATACTCTTATTTTCTCTCGAACCATAGTAATATATATATATTTGATCAAACCCTTGAATTGTTTATTTCTCTTGAAATCTTTTCCATGTTTATTTTTAATTTTACACACGTCTTTTTTTCGGAGACCTACATCCATTATGTGGCATAGGGGTTACATCCCGTATAAAATTTAATAGTATACCACTTCTACGAATAGCTCTTAATGCCGCATCTCTTCCGAGACCGGGGCCTTTTATCATGACTTCTGCTCGTTGCATGCCTTGATCCGCTACTGTTCGAATAGCATTTCCTGCTGCGGTTTGAGCGGCAAATGGTGTACCCCTTCGTGTACCCTTGAATCCACAAGTACCGGCGGAGGACCAAGAAATAACCCGACCACGTACATCTGTAACAGTCACAATAGTATTGTTAAAACTAGCTTGAACATGAATAACTCCCTTTGGTATTTTATGAGCATGCTTACGCGAACCAATACGTCCATTTTTACGCGAACCCATTTTTGGTATAGGTTTTGCCATATTTGATTATTTCATAAAAATAAGTCCGAGATATATGGATATATCCATTTCATTCAAAAACGGATCCTTTACTTTTTTCTAACTAGTTTCTAACTAGAATTCATATTCGATTTATATATATCAATTGTATTTTTATATTAATCGACATCGAATATGAATTTTTGAAATAAAATTTCAAATTGGAAATACCAATAATAAAAAAATTTCTTCTAATATTTTATAAAATATATATTCTAATATTTTTTATATTCTATTTTTATAGAAAATCCTCTTTTGTGGAAATATTATCCTTGTCTTTGTTTATGTTTTGGATTGGAACAAATTACTAGAATTCGCCCTCGCCTGCGAATTAATCGACATTTTTCACAAATTTTACGGACGGAGGCCCCTATTTTCATATTTGTAATTCCTTAATAAGTTAATACCAAATCTATTTATTGGAAGAAAATAAGGTTTCCTTACATTTTGAACTTGTACCCCCCCCCAAAAAAAAAGATTGTTGAAATTAAAAAACAGTCTAATTAAATTGAATTTTTTATGCTTCTTTTTTTTTTTCTACGGGCGTATACATATAAACATATAAAAAGTACGTCGAATCTTTTGAAAAACATAGCTTATAATTCAATTTTGATTATATAAAGGAATCTGAAACATACCCCTGGGAATTTATTCATTCAGGAATTAAATCCTCTTGAATCCTTTTTATTTTTTCTTTTTTTTTTTCCAATTCCAGTTTCAGTTAAACCCCCTTCGCACATTCACTAGTATATGAGGGGTGGGTGATATTCTAAATCTGTGTTTTCTCTCTCTCTTTTTGACAAAAATGGATAGAAATTTCTCATCTAATTCGTATTTCAGAAAGATTACCATATATAACATAAAATTTCTCCGCCTATTTTTTCTAATCGAGCCTCTCGATCTGTCATTATACCCCTAGAAGTTGAAAGAATTACAATCCCCATGCCTCCTAAAATTTTAGGGATTCGTTGATAATTAGAATATATTCGCAGACCAGGTGTACTGATCCGTTTTAAATTTAAAAAACTTTTATATGATCCTTTCTTATTTATTCTATACCGTAGAGTTAAAACTAAATAATATTTGTCGCTTTCCCTATGTTTTCTGACGTTTTCAACAAAACCCTCTCGTAAAAGTATTTTCACAGTGTTTTTCGGTGATGTTAGTAAATGGTATTTGAACCATTTTTTTTTCTATTCATATCAGCATTTCGTATATAGGTTATTATGTCAGCGATGGTGTCCTTACTCATGATAAACGAAAATGATTGTTGCTCCTTATTTTCAATATAATCAACATGCTCGTTTTTCTATTTTTTTTTCATTATTTCATTTAGATCATCCAATATATTTCATTTAGATCATCCAATATTAATATGAAATAGATAATAATTGTTATTTCTAATACTTAGAATAATTACTACAAAAGGGATATGTGTGAGATATAATATATTAATTAATCCATTTTCATTACAAAACAAATATATCCATATCACGGTTTTGCCTTATAATTTTATAATACCTCGGGTGCTAATGAAACTATTTTAGTGAAATTTAACTGTCTCAATTCCCGTGCGATTGCACAAAAGATTCGAGTTCCTTTTGGATTTCCTTCTTGATCAATGACAACTGCAGCATTATCATCATACTGAATTAGTATACCGTTGCTACGTTTGAGTTCTTTACAAGTACGTACAATTACAGCTCTGATCACTTCTGATCTTTCTAAGGTCATATTTGGTACTGCTTCCTTGATTACAGCAACAACAATGTCACCAATATAAGCATATCGTCGATTACTAGCTCCTAGGATTCGAATACACATCAATTCGCGGGCTCCGCTGTTATCAGCTACATTCAAATAGGTTTGAGGTTGAATCATATCATTTTTTTGTTCTTTCAGTCCAAAGATTGAAGTAAAAAAAATATTCTGTGTTCAAAAATAAGGAACTTACAATTGCATTTTTATGTTTTCATCCTAAAGCCCTCTTTCCTTTGGTTTTCATTATTATCCTGAAATAATGAATTGAGTTCGTATAGGCATTTTTGAGGCTGCTAAAGAAATAGCCTTTCTGGCTATATTTTCTGATATCCCACCCATCTCATAAAGTATTTTCCCAGGTTTAACGACAGATACCCAATATTCGGGAGATCCTTTTCCCGAACCCATACGCGTTTCGGTGGGTCTTACTGTAACTGGTTTGTCTGGAAATATGCGTACCCATATTTGTCCACCTCGTCGGACATTTCGTGACATTGCTCGCCGTCCCGCTTCTATTTGTCTAGACGTGATCCAAGCGGGCTCAAGTGCCTGAAGAGCATATCTTCCGAAGCAAATATTATTACCTCGATAGGATATTCCTTTCATTCTTCCTCTATGTTGTTTACGAAATCTGGTTCTTTTGGGGTTCTAGTTGATGGTTGTTTCTCAATTCCATCTCTATTACAGAACCGTACATGAGATTTTTCATCTCATACGGCTCCTCGCGAATGAAACGATTCCAATAATATATATATAAATCGATTTAATCGATAAAATAATATACACTAATATACATATGTTTAATGAATAATAGAATCGCGGGATTTTTTGAGATTTCATAGAATCTATTAGTCTATTGGAAATTTGTATATCTTGTTTTGATATATAACTTAATATGTATTCTTATAGACAATTTAAGACAATTTTTGCTATCTGTATATAACTAAATAATATTGTTTTGTTATCTTATAATATTCTAACGAATCCTTATTTCTATTTTTCTTTTTTCTTTTATTATCATATCGTATCATATCGGATTGGCAAAAATAAAAAAATTCAATAAAATACAAATTTTCGCGGGCGAAAATTCACTCTTTTATTACCAAATTCAGATGGAATGTAGGGCATAATTCCTCAATAAAAAAGAATGGATTCTTTTTTGGTTTGTTCCGCCATCCCACCTAATGAATCATTAAGATTTGTTTAAAAAAAATCTTAGATATTCGCAGGTTTCGTCGTTCCCATCGCTTCTCAATTAATGGTTAGGTCTGAATTCTACAACGGAGCCTCTCTAATTATAAGATTTTTTTTAAATACTATTTCTTTTTTCTTGAATCAACCTTCTCAGTTTTTATTGATTCGGAGCTCTTGATTTGTTTGTGTTATGAATATATCCATTTATATATGGATTAATTCCTATTGATGCTTTATTACACTGCTTTTTATGAGATGACCCATAGACCTTTACATATTAGAATTCTATATCATAGATTTTTTTCTCTCTTTCTTTCACCCCTTCATTTATCTGTATATTTTTATTTTATTGCTTTACAACTCATAATCATATTCATTTTTTTTTTGGTTTTTTCTGCAATATTTGAGTTGCTATAATTATATTACTAATATATCATATCTTTATTTAATTTTTTTGTTTTGACTATTTCTTTAAATCTAGATAATCCGAAGCAATGAGTTGGTTATTAGTTCTTTTTAATTAATTCATATTATGAGTTGGTTTCTTTTTTTTTTGTTGAATTTTAAGCATTCTAAAAAAACTAACGAGTCGCACACTAAGCATAGCAATTATATCAATATCAAATGATTAATTGAATTTTTTATTCAATTCAATCTTATAAAATTTATCATTTTTTTGTTTTGGAATAAAAATGAAATAGTTTGTAATTTTTTGTTTTATTGAAACATGAAACCTTAAAGATAAGGAAAAATTGGTTATTCTTTAGTTTATAAATATCCAAACTTTGATACCTATTACCCCATAAATAGTTCGAACTGTATAGGAACAATAATCAATTTTAGCTCGAATGGTTTGTAGAGGAACCCTACCTTCTCTGATCCATTCGATACGTGCAATTTCTTTTCCATCGATACGTCCCGCAATTTGTACTTGCACTCCTTTTGTACCTGCTTGTTCAGTTAATTCAATAGCTTTTTTCATTGCTTTACGAAACGAAACTCTATTTTTTAATTGTCCGGCTATAAATTCTGCAAGAATATTAGGATGTTTATAAGCATTTGCAATTCTTGTAATAGCAATGTTAAGTTTTCGGTTCACACAATTCAGTTTTTTTTGCATATTCGTCTGTAATTCTTCCAGCTTACCCTCTATTAATAACTTTGGAAATCCCATATAGATTATGACTTGAATCAGATCGATTCTTTTTTGAATCTTTATCCGTCCAATTCCTTCAACACCAGAGGATATTCTAATATTTTTTTGTATATAATTTTGGATCCAATCTCGTATTTTTTTATCTTCTTGAAGATTCTCGGAATAATTTGTTGGTTGTGCAAACCAAAGAGAATCATGACTTTGAGTTGTACCAAGTCTGAAACCAAGCGGATTAATTTTTTGTCCCATAATTCTCCACTACTATACATAAAAATGATACGTCTTATTTGTTTGTGTATTTTTTTTTTTAATATTTCTTTATAAATCATTGACTTAATTTGTTGAAATTTACATTGTTACTAGCATTTGCTATTGCAAAATAAACCAATCCAAAATATTGAATACGATATTCAACTCAATGAAGTATAACTTTACGACACATAACCTTTTCTTTATGCACAAATCTAATCAATAATATATATTCGTGCTTTATGTTGTGAACAAATTGAATCGTTTTTGACTAAAAGATTATATTCTATATTGGTTTTCTTTATCATAAAATTCGATTTTCACTAAAAAAATGAATAAACATTATAAAATTTAATATTAGAATATAAACTTATTTTTAATATATAGATTATTTCTTTTATATATAATTCAAATATATAAATTATAATGATTTCATTTTATCGTTCGTTCTTAATGTAAACGAGAGATCATATTTTTTGTATTCTCGGAAGTATTAGAGTAGGTAGAAAATTCTCCCATTTATAATATTTCATACGAATTAATATTTAAAATGTAATTCTTTCAATTATGGATGCAATGAATGAGCAAATACATTTGGTATATGGTATTGTTCGATAATGAGCAATATTAAAAGATACAAAGATTATTACTTATTCAGTAATAATATCTATTGTATTCATAAACTTAATATCATGATTCTGATTAGAAAATTAGTAGAAAAAGTGATTATTTTAATGAATGTAATCCAGTTATTAGACTTATTTTTTAAAATAAGTTAACTTTGGAATCCAATGAAATGGCATCTCGTAAAATTGAGTATTTTCGCTAAGCAATTCTACATAAAATACCAAAGGGTTTCATGTAGCTTTTCTAACAAATGACTATTGGATTAAGATACTCGGTATTTAAATGGATCCTCCGAATTCTATTATGTATTCAAGGATTACACAAGACTATATACCATTTGCACTATAACGAATGTAGGAAATCTATTCGAAAGTAGCGGAATCAAGTATCACACAGCAGTAATCATGATAAAACCGGTCTAGGAAATGAGTATCGAAAAAATTAAACCATTATGGGAATCATAGGATTTTATGAACAATGCTAAAATTTTAAAAGGGATGTCACAAAAAATCCAATTAAGGTATCTAGACATTAAGTGGATACTATAATATCAGTATATAAAATAATTGACGTGTGTAAAATTAAAAATAAACATGGAAAAGATTTCAAGAGAAATAAACAATTCAAGGGTTTGATCAAATATATATATATTACTATGGTTCGAGAGAAAATAAGAGTATCAACTCGGACACTACAGTGGAAGTGTGTTGAATCAAGAGTAGACAGTAAACGTCTTTATTATGGACGCTTTATTCTGTCTCCACTTATGAAAGGCCAAGCCGATACAATAGGCATTGCAGTGCGAAGAGTTTTGCTAGGAGAAATAGAGGGAACATGTATTACACGTGCAAAATCGGAGAAAATACCACATGAATATTCTACCATAGTAGGTATTCAAGAATCAGTACATGAAATTTTAATGAATTTGAAAGAAATTGTATTGAGAAGTAATCTGTATGGAACTCAAGACGCATCTATTTGTTTCAAAGGTCCTGGATATATAACTGCTCAAGACATCATTTTACCACCTTCTGTGGAAATCATTGATAATACACAACATATAGCCAACCTAACAGAACCTATTAATTTGTGTATTGGATTAAAAATTGAGAGGAATCGCGGATATCGTATAAAAACACTAAAAAACTTTCAAGACGGAAGTTTTCCCATAGATGCTGTATTCATGCCTGTTCGAAATGTAAATCATAGTATTCATTCCTATGGGAATGGGAAAAAAAAACAAGAGATACTCTTTCTCGAAATATGGACAAATGGGAGTTTAACTCCTAAAGAGGCGCTTTATGAAGCCTCTCGGAATTTGATTGATTTATTTATTCCCTTTTTACATGCAGAAGAAGATCCCTTTCATTTAGAAAAAAATCAACACAAGGTTACTTTACCCCTTTTTACTTTTCATGATATATTGGCTAAGGATAAACTGAGGAAAAATAAAAAAGGAATAGCATTGAAATCCATTTTTATTGACCAATTAGAATTGCCTCCCAAGATCTATAATTGTCTCAAAAGATCCAATATTCATACATTATTAGAACTTTTGAATAATAGTCAAGAAGACCTTATGGAAATGGAACATTTTCGTGTAGAAGATGTAAAACATATATTAGACATTTTAGAAATAGAAAAGCATTTCGCATAAATTTGAAATCCATTGGCATTGGTTTTTTTTTTTTCATATTTTTATTATTATAAAAATAAAGGTGAAAATGTGTAATTTGAATCCTTAGAATAAATCCATATACTCGGAATAGGCCAAAAGATGTATCTAGGGATTAGTCGTTTCAAAATGAATTCTCCCTAGATACACAATATACATGGCATGATATTTTATTTCACAATTGAATCCATTTAATTAAAAAGTTTAAAAAAGACCTAAAATTAGAGATTTCTCAATAGGTAATGTTGCTCCAATACCCAACCAAAGGGCTACTATGGTACCAATTAAAAAGATGGTTGTTGCTACTGGACGGCGAAATGGGTTTTGGAATTTATTAACATTTTCCAAAAAGGGTACTGTTAATAATCCCATAGGTACCCGAAACCATTAAAGAACGCCTAATAACTTATTGGGCACTGTACGAAGTATTTGAAATACGGGAAAGAAATACCATTCGGGTAGTATTTCCAAAGGAGTTGCAAATGGATCCGCGGGTTCTCCCAATCATTGATGGTTCTAGAACCGCTAATCCTACGTTACAGGCAATAGTACCAGAATTACTACTGGAAAAATATATAAAAGATCATTGGGCCATGCAGGTTCTCCATAATAATTATGACCCATTCCTTTAGCCAATTTAGCTCTTAATACAGGATCATTCAAGTCAGGTTTTTTTTGTTATTAGGATAGGTGAATTCTTATAGATCCATCCTCCGAAAGAACCGGACATGATAATTTTTCATCATCCGGCTCGAGCACGAATCAAACATTTCGAATGTATCCATAGAAAAAATGCATATGTTATCCACACATATAGAAAGATTCCATGTAAGAAAATAAACCTTATTTCTTCTCCGAAGTTACAATTATCTTATCTGCAAAAAAAAAAAATTAAGTTCTTTTATTATTAAGTAAACTTAAGTAAACGCTCAATACCCAAGTAGGCTTTCAAAGTGAATAGTGCTTTTTGGGTGATCTCAAACCTTGCAATTCTTACCCCCCCCCCAAAAAAAAAATCTTGGAACTTTTTACGTACAAAGGATTTACTTGTTACTAATATAATCTAACCCCTGTTCTTCTTTAGATCCACTTGGTTTACTCCGATAGTATCATAAATCGAGTCAATGCATAGGAAATGAATGCATTTCCATACTATTAAGTTCAGTGAAATAGAGAAAATATAATTCAGATTATCCCACATCACTTTTTTTACTGGATGTTACGGAGCTGTTCATGCAGGATATGATCGAGTCTGATCATAGAAAAGATTCTTTACAAGTGAAACCAGCCTATCCTCTGTAGGGACGGACCTTGCGTGGTAGTTGGAATAAAGACACATTGAATTGTAAATTCAAATGTGGCAGATAAGAGAAAATCATATATCTGCGTGCCCAATCAATAGTTCAAGTCACACACTCCCATAATCCATTTCTTCTTCGTAGAATTCCCTTCAACTATTCGTGTATGTAAAAAATAATAATAATCCAATTTTGTTAAATTGAAGGAAAATAATCCAAATACATGTCTTATTCTTTTAAATAATCCATATTTGTAGCAATGAAATATATTCCTCCCCAAATAAGAAATGATTAATTACAAATATCTATGATTCATATTTACTATAAAGGACCAGAAATGCCTTGCTTACGTATCATTGGAAAGTGCATTAACATAAATACGGCAGTAAGAAGAGGTAATACAAAAGTATGCAAACTATAAAAACGAGTCAAGGTGGATTGTCCCACACTAGAACTTCCGCGTAATAACTCTACCAAAGAGGATCCTATTACAGGAATAGCTTCGGGGCACGCCTGTTACAATTTTGACTGCCCCAATAACCAATTTGATCCCAAGGTAAGAATAACCAGTTACACCAAAAGATGCGGTCAATACAGCCAAAACTACACCGGTAACCCAAGTTAATTCGCGAGGTTTTTTAAAGCCACCTGTGAGATACACGCGAAATACGTGCAGAATCATCATTAAGACCATCATACTTGCCGACCATCGATGAAACTGATCGGATTAACCAACCAAAGTTAGCCTCCGTCATTATATATTGAACAGAAGCAAAAGCTTCAGTAACAGTCGGACGATAATAAAAAGTCATAGCAAATCCCGTCGCTACTTGGACTAAAAAACAAGTAAGTGTAATTCCTCCTAAACATAAAAATATGTTTACATGGGGAGGAACGTATTTACTGGTTATATCATCGACAATCGCCTGAATCTCAAGACGTTCTTCGAACCAATCATAGACTTTATTGAGATAGGTAAACTAAGGTACCCCCCCGAGAACCGTATATGAGAATTTCATCTCGTACGGCTCAAACAAAAATACCCAAATACTGGTTGTAATGAAAACAGATATGTGTAATAGAAAGCTTGAAACTTCTTAACGGAATCCTATGATTCCAATCTTTTCGGAAGATAAGAAAAAATAGAAATCCGAAAACTATTCTTTGTGGTTATAATGCCAAAATATCAAGTCGGCTCACTCGTCTTTATTTACAGTAGGCCTCTTGAATATTCTATTATTTACTTCCATTTTTTATTTGTGTGTAATGTTCT